AAAGGGGTTGGGGGATAGAGCTCAGTGGCACAGTGCCTACCTAGCTGCATGGGTTCAGGCTCAATCTCCACTAAGGCAAAATGTAAAAAAATTTTAAAAACTGAGCATTTACTACAAACAAACCACTAGGCTAAACCTTTGCAGACAATAAGGACTTGGAAAAAATGTGCTCCTGTCTCCTGTGTTCCAAGAGCACCAAGCTGAATGGTGGAAACACACACATAAATATACCCATGAACAGTGGAATGTGATAAGCTGATGGCTTTACTGCTTTCCTTCCTGGCATAAACCTAATTAAGTTCACTAAAAAAGTCTGGCAACTCTCAAACACTGCTGATAGAAACCTAAAGTACTACATCCTAATTGAAGGCAACTTAGCAATATTTATCAAAATGACAAATGCATATATCCTTTATGGTAGTTTTAAATATGCCCTTAAAGACTTACTACTCTTTTCTTAAGAGGTGGAGCCTGAGCTCCTCGCACGTTAGTGTAGGTATGGCTTAAAGTTGTTTTTCTAATGAAAAGAAGAAAGCAGAGTAACAGTGTGTGACTTCTGAGACTACGTCAGAAAAGGTACTGTGGCTTTTCTCTTGTTCTGTCTCTTAGATCATTTGCCATGGGGAAAAATAGTAGCCACGTCTGAGGACTCACAGGCAGCCCTGGGGAAAGGCCCGCATGGCAAGTGAGGACTTCTGCAAAAAGCGGGGAAGTGAGGCCTCCTGCCAACCACCCGCATAATCATCTTCGAAGTGGGGTTGCCACCCCCAACCAAGACTGCACAGGAATGGCACCCCGGATGATGGCCTGATCTAACTTCAGGAAACATCCTGAGTGACAACCACCCAGCTCAGCCTCTATCAGATTCCTGACCCTGAGAAACTGGGTGAAGTTAATGGTTGCTATTTTTAGACCAATAAATCTTAGGGGTAATTTGTCGTACAGTGGTAGTTAACTGAGCCACGTAAGTGCCATCTGACCCAGTACTTCTAGGATTTATCCCGCAGGTTTTCATAGAAATATCTCCTGCTCTAAACTCTATTCAAAATTTAGAACTGATACAACTTTTGGATAAATCCCTTACTCACCAAAGTTTTACCAAAAGTAATGTTTACTTAAACTAAATAAATTTCTACTTTCAAATTTTTTCATTATCAAAAACTTAAAGGTTTTCTCCCCAGCACCTTAAAAAGAAAAACAAATTAAGCAAATAAAGAAAAAACAAAAAGAATTTTCAGCACTAGAGATTGAACCCAGGGCAGTACAGAGGGCTACATTTCCAGTCTTTTTGCTTTTTTTTTTTTTCACTTTGAGCTAGTGTCTCACTAAATTGTCCAGGCTGGGATTAAATTTGTGACCCTTCTGCCTCAGCCTTCTGAGTAGCTGGGATTATAAGCATGTGCCATCAGGATAGGCTTTGAAAGAGACTTTTTTGGGGCTGGGGATTTAGCTCAGCGGCAAAAGCGCCTGCCTGGCAAGCGCAGGGTCGTGAGTTCGGTTCCCGGTACCGGAGAAAAGCCAAAAAAAAAAAAAAAAAAAAATCAACCACAAAAATAAACTGAAAGAGACTTTTTTGTTTTTGTTTTTGTGGTTCTGGGGATTGAACCGAGGGCCTCTGTGCTAAGCTACATTCCAGGCCCACTTTATTATTTTATTTTGAGAGAGTCTTCCTAACTTCCCCAGGGTGAGCTTGAACTTGCAATCTTATTACCTCAGTCTCCCAGGGTGGTTGCATTACAGGCAAGTGTTACCATGCCCCACTAAGTAAGAATCTTAAAATTGAAATACATTCAGGTATCAGGGGTTCCTCTTTTATTTGATCTCTCTGAGCTCAGGAACTAAAGAATCTAGATAATGCATGCATGAAGGGAGTAACAAGATTATCTATTGCAACATCACCTGCAATGCCAAAATATAACAACAAAGTTACAGAAAGTCCTTATTTAAAAAAACCTATTCAATGGAGTGCTTTGTAATTGTAAAAAAGGTGGTAGCTCACTGCAGTATTATGGAATCTTTTTCAGATACACTGTTTAAAGGAAAAAAAGGGACAAGGTATAAAGGTGTATGCGTGCTATAATATCACCTTTAAAAAAAAGAACAGAAAATATCAAAAGATCCATTATGAAGGAACAAAAATGATCACTTCTCTAGAGGAAAGGAAATGGGGATTAGATGGGTGACAGGAAAAACTGCAAGACTTAATTCTTTTATTCTGAACCATGTGAATTTGTTACCTTTTAAAAATCATGAGTATTTTTAATATTGCTGAAAGAACAGAATGATTATCATTCAATCCAGTTTTCTAACTAGCACATAAAAATAATATAGAAACAAGCTGGGAATGATGGTGTATGCCTGTAAACCTAGCACTTGAGAGGCTGAGGCAAGAGGATTGCCACAAGTTCGAGGCCAGCCTGTACTACAGACCCTATCTCAAGGAAGGAAAGGAGGGAAAAACGGAAGGAAGGAAGGAAGGAAGGAAACAAGGGAGGAAGGGAGGGAGGGAGGAAGAAGGGAAGGAGACAATAATAAACATAACTAAAATGTTAAATCTTTCAGTCATAAGTACTTACAATTTTTCACTAATTTCTTTGCCTATTCTAATTGTGCTTCATAGAAATGTTTGGTATATATTTATGTTTTAGTTTATAATAATTTTATTTGAAGTGTTCATAAGATTTCAGTGTAAAGAAAAATTACTGGCATCAAAATTGATGTTCTAGAATAATTTTCTGGTGAACTAGAAAATGATATTGCTAGGCCCAATGACAGATTCACCAAATCAGAACTTTGTTGGAGAAAACATCATCTCTAAATAAATAAAATCAACTTCTACTTGGAGAAAAAAATTAGGATTCTGCTAGGTTGGAGAATGTGAGTGGGCAGACCCGGGCAACTGTATTTAAAAAATTAAAATGAAGCCTGGTGGTACATGCCTGTCGTCTCAGCACTGTGAGTGTGAGGCCAGCCTGGGCTACCTAGTCACTTCAAGGCCAGCTTGAAGTACATGGTGAGACCCTAAAAACCTAAAAAAGAAAGAAAAAGACAGACAGACAGACAAGAGACCTCCACACACTGACTTTATGGCAGCATTTGCCCGTCAATGATCTAGTACATTCTCTTCTAGCAACTTCCCTTGATGAATGCAGTCATTATGTACTGCAAACATGTACTAATACAGTTTTTAAAATTAAAATAAAATCCCCTTACTCACACAGAAGGAAACTAAGATTCAAGGAGAGGAAATATAATTGACACAGATCTAAAATCAGTGAAAAAACAGAGCTGGCACTTGAACGCTGATCCCTGAGACCCCCAGTCTCCTCTTTCAACTCTCTCTGGCCCAGCGATGGTGGAGGGTATAATTCAACGCCACATGGGAACTTCCACTCTCTCTGGGTCAAACCTGGGATCTAAAATAACTCATATTCTTCAGTTCTCTCGTTCCTTTCACTGAACATCCTCTTAGGCTTCCTTGTTTCGCTTTTCATTCTCCAGTTATGAAAGACAACCCTACTTTTGCTTAATGGCTTCTGAAATGTTTTGTATATTTTGTACTGTTCCCAGAGCAGGGGTGTAAATTAGAGTCTGCTGCCCTGGAGAAACTATGACCTCCAGGCCAAAGCCACATGATCACCCATTTTTCTAAATTTTAACACAACACGGTCATGTCTATTTAATTCCATTTTATCCACAACTGTCAACATCCAGTTATGTGTTATCTAGTCCCTTACAAAAATTATCCTATGTCGGGGGCTGGGAATTTAGCTCAGCAGCACAGCGCCTGCCTGGCAAGTGCAAGGTCGTGAGTTCGATTCCCGGTACCGGAAAAAAAACAAGAAGAACAACAACAACAACAAATTATCCTATGTCATTTTTAAACCTCACAAATTATTTTCAACTTACATATTTTTCTGATTAAAATGAGTTTAAATTTATGGCAGTTTCTGCTTCAAATTTAATATTTTCAATTTAATATTTGCACTTGAGATTTATGTCTAAATTTTGCTCCGCATGGTGGCACACGCTTGTAATCCCAGCACTCGGGAGGCTGAGGCAGGAGGATTGTTGAGAGTTAGAGATCACCCTGGGCTACAAAGTGAGTTCAAGACCAGCCTGAACTGCATAGTGGGACCCTGTCTCAAAAAGACAAAAAAAAAAAAGGATATTTTACTTGTCAAATAATTTGCCTGTTGCTGGGTGTGGTGACACACGCCTGTAATCCCAACACTTAGGAGGCTGAGGCACAAGGATCGCCGTGAATTTGAGGCCAGCCTGGGCTACATAGTGAGTTCAAGGTCAGCCTGAGCTACATAGTGAGTCCTTTCTCAAAAAAAACCCAAAACAAACAAAAAAACCAAAAAACTGCCCATTATTTAAATATATAGGGAAAAGTTTTAAGTTTTTTTTTAAATGACAGGGAGAAAAGCATCGTTGAACATAAAACAGTTTTGAACAGCAAAAGTCAATAGTTTTGAACAGCAAAATACTGAAAAGTCTCATGTATGGGTGACCCTTATTGTTCACTTTGTGAAAATTAGCTTTTCAAGTCTGATAAAAAATAAAACTGTGGACCAGGGATATAGCTCAGCAGCATAGCCCCCGCCTGGCAAGTGCAAAGTCCTGAGTTTAATTCCTGGTACAAAAAAAAAAAAAAAAAAGGAAAAAATAAAACTGTACATTTGGAGATGCAAAAAAAAAAAAAAGATCCTGCTAACTAAGGTGGTAATAAGAACCTCCTTTTAGTTGCACTGCGATGGTGAGTGCCATGACAGTTAATTCTTCTAGGGGAGGTGGTAATTCGTAAGGAGCTAAAGAGTAAAAAGGAAAAATATATATATAGAGAGAGAGACAGACAAAAAATTGACAAGCAGAAGATGCACAAGGTGGGTATCCAAGAGATAGCAGTATGATAAATATTACAGATACAGGTAGTAGGGGACCTAGTTTGGCTCTGAATGGGGACCAATGCAATCCTGCTCTGCCTCCAAGCCTACCTGTTCTGCCAGCCAGGCAATGTGCTTGACTTCCTTGCTGCCTCCCGCTGTACTGGTTGCACCAAGCATGGCATTAAGTTCAGCCAGTACCTGTGGGAGGAGAGCCATTATGTTGGTGTGGATAGCTACGAACCAGGAGTGTGCTGTGGCTGTATCCTTGCAGCGGAGGATCAATGTGTTCCTGCTATCAGGAGAATGGAGCTCTATCAATCTGTGTGGGAAAAGAAAAGAAAAAAGTGAGCTGGGTCAGAAGTCACCACACCTACCAGAGAGATTAACGTGCACAATTGCAAATCTAATTTAATTACGCATTCCTCAAATAGTGACACTTTCTCTTAATTCTTTAGAGTCCAGCTAAAACCACATGTGGAGGAAATAAAAAGAAAAAAAGATATGTACATGTACCAACTTCCCTCAACAATGCAGTCATTACACACTGCAAACACATACTAATAAAATTTTTTTTAATTAAAATAAAATAAAACCATGGAAATAAAACATAAAATAAAAACATGGAAAGGAATCACCAGAAAGACTAAACTGCTGGACGGGCTGCCGTAGTGTGTTGATGGAAGGAGCTAAGCCAAGGGAACCTAGGGTATGGTTGATAGTACAACATTTTGCTTTACCTTAATTTCCATGTCAGAGAAATGGAAAGTGTGTTTGCTGAATGTTACAGGCACAGTTATAAATCAGAAAGTAATGTTTAAAAAAATACTTAGATACCAAGTACTTGGGAGGCTGAGGCAAGAGGATTGTCATGAGTTTGAAGCCAGCCTGGACTACACGGTGAGTTCAAGGGCAGCCTGAGTTACATAGCAAAACTCTGTCTCAAAAAACAAAACAAAACAAAACAAAAAACAAAAATACACAGATAATTCTGATATAAGGTATTGCTAGGCATTAAAGAAAACTTACTGACCCATAATAAACTGAAATTTATACTATGTGAAATAAAGAAAAGGCAAATTAGTGGAGGAATATTTCTTTTATTCCCTCGATACTGGGAACTAAACCCAAGGCCTTGCACATGCTAGCCAAGTGCTTTACTACCGAGTTACAGCCCTGTCTTTGTTGTTGTTTTTGTTTTTTTGAGACAGGATTTCACTATGTAGTTCAGGCTGGCCTCAAACTTGTGATCCTTTGACCTTGGCATCCTGAGCAGATGAGATTATAGACATGCATCACTGCATTCAACAAGAATATTATATTTCATGAACATATGGAATTATTTTAGTGTCTGGGTAATATTATATGATTAAATCATTCACTGAGTCCCAGAAGAAATACAGTTAAGACATAGTCAACAAGAAGATTATTCTGTATTAATTAATGCTCAACTGAGAACAATCTATATTTCAAAAGGTGCCTGTACATAGCAATGGGCGGTGGCATACGCCTGTAATCCCAGCACTCAGGAGGCTGAGGCAACAGGATCACTGTGAGTTTGAGGCCAGCCTGGGCTACATAGTTCAGCATCAGCGTGATTCACAAAGCAAGACCCTGTCTCAAAAAAACCAAACCAAACCAAACCAAACCAAACCAAACCAAACCAAACCAAACCAAACCAGATCAAACCAAACACTACACCAAAGCAAACACCAAACAACCCAAACAAACAAAAAAGCAAACACAAAACCAAAATCCCCACAAAACAAAACAAGCAACTCATAGAAGTTATCCATACTGTGCTCACTTCAGCAGCACATACTCTAAAAAGTTATCCATACAAATTAGTTGAAAGTTTTAAAAATGTAAGTGGCATATGCATGTAATCCCAGCACTCTGGAAAGCTAAATCAGGAAGATCCCATGTTCAAGCTGAGCCTGGGCAATTTACCTGGACCCTGTATCAAAATAAAAAATAAAATAGGGCCGCGGATACAGCCAAACACAAAGGCTCTAGACTCAATCTCCATTACCACTGCACAGTATACCTCACAACCCCCCAACCCGAGTCATGGTTCAGAGTTCTGGGCCTCAGTTGCTTGAGGATGTTTCCTTATAACCTAGTAATTGTTAACAGACACCCCCCGCCCACATTGGAAATCACAAATATCCTCCAGAACTTTTTGTTTTGGTGGAGGTTTGCAAGTAGCCAATCCAAGAGCTGCACTCGGTTCTTCTTGCTGCTGATTGCTACTGCTGCACACCCATCTCCAGCAGATGCACCAGCATTCAGGCATAATGGGTTACTGTACTGCCTGTAGCTATCACTAGTGTTCTCCATTTTGTTGTTCTTCTTTTTTTTAAATGGAGTTTATTTGTATATTTTAGATATATGTGATGATCACATTCATTATAGAGAATTTGCACCTGTACATGATATAACTTGATTCTTTTTAGATTTTGTTCTTCTTCAAACCCTAAGATCCATAATATGCAGCCAAACAGCCCTGCACCTTCTAAGGATTTCTCAATACAGTATTTTATTAAACTACTAACTGCGGGAGACATAGCATATTTAGGATTTAAACTATAAAAATAGGCATTTTTCTTAATCATATCTGAAATTCACAGTTTTCATAATTTGTGGATACTCTAGGAACCTAACTCTGGCAAAGTTTGAGGGTCTACTGTCTGTCTGTCTATCTATCTATCTATCTTTGTAAAGCAATTTATTTGGTATTGCTTTGTGTTTTGGACAAATATAACTTTTTTTGTCTTTTTACAAAAGATGTCATTATGCAGTTCAGGCTGGCCTTGAACTCACTTTGTAGCTCAGGCTGGCCTCGAACTCATGGCAATCCTCTTGCCTCAGCCTCCCTAGTGCAAGGATTGCAGGTGTGTGCCACCACACCCAGCATGGACAAACATAAATTGTAAAAGTTAAACAGCACACGCGCGCACACACACACACACACACACACACACACACACACACACAGTATTTTGGTTTTGCGTTTTGCAGCACTAGGGTTTGAACCCAGGGAGCACTGGGCTACATCTACAGCCCTTTCTTAAATTTTAATTTTTTATTTTGAGAGAGGTTCTTGCTAAAATGCCCAGGGTGGCCTCAACCTTGCAATCCTCCGGCCTCAGTCTCCAAGTTGCTGAGATTACAGGCATGCGCCACCACAGGAAGCCACACTATTATGTTCTAATAGTGAACACACACATCTTTCAAGAGGAAAATGAAAAGCTACTAGGAGTGACTCCCTTAGTAGGCCAGAAATTACAAACTGCCAGTACTAAGGAGACTGTTTTCTGAAGGCAGTTTTTGGTGCCCTGAAGCACTGTCCTCAGATTCTGCATTGCCTGTCACAAGAAAGCAATTTACCACTAGCATTTCTGCCTTGAAGCTTGAGCTCCTTCCTCTCTTTTGCAATATCTTTACACCTTTTACAATTCCAAATATTTTAAGTTGCCATATTTTATCTGGCAAATACTCATCCTCACTTGAACTCTGGTTAGTCTGTCCTTCCCTTCCTTCCTTCTTTCTCTTTTTCTGAGACAAAGACTCACTATGTAGCCAAGGCTGTGCCTAAACTTGTGATCTTCCTGCCTTGGCTTCACAAGTATTGGGACTATAGACATGTGCCACCATGCTCAGCAGTCAGTTCTTTCTTCTTCTGTTTTCTTTGCTTTGTTCTGTTTTGTTTCTGCAGTACTGTAGATTGAACCTAGAGCTACATCTCCAGTGTTTTTTTTTTTGTTTGTTTGTTTTGTTTTGTTGAGACATTATCTTGTTAAATTGCTCAAGATGGGCTCAAACATGCAATTGTCCTGCCTCAGCTTCTCACAGTTTTGGGATTACAGACATGTGTACCATCCCAGGCTAGGAATTCCTCCATGTTAAACATGATCAAAGCCTAGACAGAACTAGAAAGAAGATAGACCTCTGACAAATAGCTTAACATTCATTGTTAGCTTTTATTCAGCCTCTATTTCATTCAACAGCATTTATTCTTTTGGGGATTTTTTGAGACAGGGTCTCCCTATGCAGTTCAGGCTGGGCTTGAACTCACTACGTAGCCCAGGCTGGCCTCGAACTCACAGCGATCACCTTGTCTCAGCCTCTCAAGTGCTAGGATTACAGCCTTAAACCACCATGCTCAGCTATCATTTTCTTGTTTTTGGAAGAGATGGTTTACATTTTAATGAAATTCAACTTATCAATTTTTTTTTAAGGTGTAAGAAGTCACTATCAAATTTAGAGTGTTTTAAGTGAGTTCAAGGCCAGCCTGAACTGTGTAGCGAGACCTTGTCTCAAAAATACCAAAAAAGAAAAAAAAAAAAAAAAAAAATTTAGAGTGTTTTGTCAGGTGTGGTGGTGCATGCCTGTAATCCCAGCACTCAGGAGGCTGAGGCAGGAGGATTGTTGCAAGTCTGAGACCAGCCTGGGCTACAAAGTGAGCTCAAGGCCAGCCTGAAATGCATAACGAGACCCTGTCTCAAAAACGACAAAAAAAAAAAAAAAAAAAGATTTAGAGGGTTTTTAAAAAAGCACAACCTGACAAGCTCAGGGAGAACAAGAGAACGGCACCTATAATGAAATTTTGGAAGCTGGCAAGCAGACACAGGAGTTAAATGAATAGTCAGACTTAAGCAAGTAGGAAGAGCCAAATCCCTGCCAGTCCATGCTATACAATCCTTAAGAGCTTGGGGAACTGGTGGCACCAGTTACCTCTGGAAGTGGGAATAAATCACATAGCTAATATAAAGTGGCCGCTTGACAATCTGTTTCAGCCAGTGACTGTCCCACCTCATCCTAGCAAAAGATTCAGCTCCATTCTTGTCCCACCAAATGGGGGTGGGAAGAGGCAGTGATGTCCTTAGTTTAAATCACCATCAGGCTGACCATTTTGAGGCTATTTATTTCTCAGTTGCTTTGGCACTGTAACTAGATAACACCCGTTAAACACATGCTAAAAGTTTGGCAGCTAAACCATGCCAGAAAATTTCTTCACTCCTTCTCTTAACCTACTCAGCAGTAAAGATAGGAAACAGTCCATTCTTCTCTAGACATAAACTGTTCATGTTCTGAAAGGGTATCTACACTTCACACAGTTCCTGGGACAATCTCAGACACGTCTAAATTTTAAAAAATACAGTACCAAAGATCATAATTATTACAGGGGACAAAGGAATACCCTAAGACTAGTGCTAGTTTTTTGTTTGTTTTGCAGAACTAGGCATTGAACCCAGGGCCTCTGAACTGCACTACATCATTTTATTTTTTAATTTTGAGATAAGTCTTGCTAAATTACCTCAGTTGGCCTCAAACTTGCAACCCTCTTGCCTCAGCCTTCCAAAATGCTTTTTTTTTGTCCTTTTGAGACAAGGTCTTGCTATGCAGTTCAGGCTGGCCTTGAACTCACTTTGTAACCCAGGTTGGTCTCAAACTTGCAATTATTCTCCTGCCTCAGCCTCCTGAGCGATGGGATTACAGGCATGCACCCCCACACCTGGCTGTCATGCATTTTGTCCTGCAGAATATTCAGGCGAAATGTTCTAAAGCACTGGGTTACAGACATGTGCCACCAGGCCCAGCTCTAGTCTACTGCTGTTTCAAAAGAAAATTTGTTTTCTTTTCTTTTTTTGGCTTTTTGAGACAGGGTCTCATTATGCAGTTTAGGATGGTCTTAAACTCATTAAGTAATATCACAGGCTGGCCTTGAACTTGCAGCAATTTTCCTGCCTTAGCCTCCCCTAGTGTTGGGGTCACAAGCATGCATCTCCATGCCCAGCATTGTTTTTAAAGAAAATTTCAGCAGGGTGTGGTCACTTGGGAGGCTGAGGCAGGAGGACTGCTGCAGATTCAAGATCAGCCTGGACTACACAGCGAGACCCTGTCTCAAACAAAACAAAACAAAACAAAACACTTTTCAATTTAAAATTCTGCTAATAAAAATATGGAGGCAGTCTGCCAATAATCAGGCTCAGAGGACAGAGGGAGAGACAGCCACAATGTGAAATGTTTTGGCCGCTAGTCAAACCACTGAGGATTTCCTGAGAAATGCAATTACATTTTGATCAGATGAATCAAATCAATGTTTAGGTTTACAGAAGCATAGGATTTTATAAGCTCTGAAAAGCAGTGTTCTTGCTAGGTTTCACACTACCCACAGTGCTGCTTGCTAAGACATGGGCTCATGTTCTCTCCCTGGACTTCACCATTATTTATTTCTCTTTCACTTTCCAGGATGAAGCACTTATAATTACCAGCTGCACGTAGTGAGGCCATAAAAATTCAAGAGAGGGGAAGGGAGTAAACTTCCTCCTCCCTTCCTCACACTGATGCTTAACAACTTTTTCCAGTTGTATGTAGTGGGGCAAAATTAAAGTAGTAAAATAGGTAAAATTATTGTTTCTCTCTAATTTAAAGTAACCTTTTGATACTAAACATTGAACCCAGTACCCTCACACTGAGTTATGTACCGAGGTCTTTTTTATTTTGAGATAGGGTCTTGCTAAATTACTAAAGTGCTTAAGACTGGCCTTGAATATGCAGTCCTTCTGCCTCAGCCTTCCAGAGTGCTTGGATTATGGTAATGTGCCATGATGCTTGGCCAAGTTTTTGGTAAAGGAAGGGAAGCCTTAGCCAAGTGTGGTGATACACATCTGCAATCCCAGCACTCTGGAAGACAGACAGGATGATCACTCATTCCAGCCCAGGCTGAGTAACGTAGTGAGACCTGTCTCAAAATAAAAAACAGAGCTGGGCCTGGTGGTGCACTAGTGTAATCCTATTACCCAGGAGGCTGAAGCAGGTGAATCGTGTGAGTTCAAGGGCAGACCAGACTACATAGTGAGACCCTCTCAAAAAACCAATTTAAAAAAATAAAATAAAATGAATTACGCCAGGGGTGGTGGCACATGCCTGTAATCCCAGTATTTGGGAGGCTGAGGCAGGAGGACTGTCACAAGTTCAAGGAATATAGTGAGACTTTGTCTCAAAAAAGAGAGAGAGAGAAAGAGAGAGAGAAAAGAGACAATTAAAAAATAAAAAAGGCTGGCGATGTACACCACTACAAAAGCCCTACGTTCAACACTCAGTAGTGGGAAAAAAATAAAAACTAAAGCCTTTACATAAAAATGAGTGATAAACCACAAACAGATTCCTATCCACACCCAGAAGAATGGTTAATATTAAAAAGACTAATACCAAGCCAGACATGGTAGTGCATGCCTCTAATTCCAGCACTCTGGCAGGCTGAGGCAGGAAGATCATAAATTCCAGCCCAGCCCAAGTAACTTAGCATGACCCTGTGTCAAGATTTAAAAAAAAAAAAAAAAAAAAGGAGTGATACCAATGTTGGAGAGAAAATGGAGAAAGGGAAGCTCTCATATTTTGTTAGCAGGAATATAAAATGGCACAACTACTTTAGAATACTCTAGCAATTTCTGCAGTTTCTTTAAAACCGAACATATACCTATCCTTTGACTTAGCAATTTCACTCCTATAAATTTACTCTGTAAAATGAAAATGTTTGTCCACAGAAACACTTGTATAAAAGTAGTATTCAAAATAAGTAGCTCTAAACTATAAGTACTTCCAGTGACCATCAATAAGAAAATAGATAAACTGACATTTCCTCAACAGAACTGAGATAAAATTAAGGACCAAAGAGTTCCAAGTGATTTTATAGCTATTATCTTATTTAAGTCTGAAGCAATTCTAAAGTGTATAGTTGGGAGATAAATGATGGGGCGTGGCTTAGACTGGCTAAGAAAAGAGGTGTGGAATCTTGGCACTGTGTCTTAGCCTCTCAGGACCTGTATGTAGAAGTCCTTGGGTTCCCTCAAGATTTGGATGGCAGGGCTGGGGATTTAGCTCAGCGGCAAAGCGCCTGCCTGGCAAGCGCAAGGTCGTGAGTTCGGTTCCTGGTACCGGAGAAAAACCAAAACCAAAAAAAAAAAAAAAAAAGATTTGGATGGCATAGAAGGACACAGACATAGCCAGGCATGGTGGTGCATGCCTGTAATCCCAGCATTTGGGAGGCTGAGGCAGGAGGATGGCTGCAAGTTCAAGGCCAGCCTGGGTTACAGAGTGAGTTCAAGGCCAGCCTGAACTGTATAGTGAAACCCTGTCTCAAAAAGAGCAAAAAAAAAAAAAAAAAAAAAAAGGATAGACATGCCTAGAAGGGCTCACTATGGTGGCTTTTCTCAGGATAGCCTCCCCTGTATCCTTCAGGGTGTATTTTTATCTTGCTTTTACTCAGTCCAAGTTTGCTCTGTTGAGCTAGTCTCTCTCTCACACTTCACTTTTACTTTTTCTTTTTTCTAGGTACTGGGACTTGAACTCAGGACTTTGCACTTGTGATTGTCAGGTAAGCTGCATTCCTGAGCTATATCCCTGGCCCTCTACTTTTTCAAATAAACCTTGTCACCATTTTTTTTTTTTCATCTCACTCAATTCTTTGTTTGAATACAACAATAGAATAAGATGTGGGAACTGAAAACCTGATAACGTTTATCTGGCAAGCCACTCCCCCCGCCACTCCCGGGTACCAGGAACCCAACTCACGACCTCACGCTTGTCAGGAAGGCGCTGTGCCACTGAGCTAAATCCCCAGCCCCTGGCAAGCCACTTTTAGAAGGAGACTACCCAGTAAGAGCCGAATGGGCATTATAACCATTTTGCATACAAAACATGGGAGAAATTGAAGAACTTATACAAGGCCACAAAGACACTACCTGTACCTATAATATCTTAGAAATTTACTATGTCAGGTTTTTTTTTGGTACTGGAAATCGAACTCAGGACCCTGTGCTTGCCAGGCAGGCACTGTGCTGCTGAGCTATATTCCTGGCCCTACTAGGTCCATTTTACAATCATTTTCTCACTAAATTTGCCTATAATTTTTGTTTTATACAGGAAGAAATCAAGGTGTATGAAAAAAAAAAAACCAAGCCTACCTTTTATGTTCTAACTCTCATAACTAAGGCATAATTTTGTCAACAATTTGTTGACGCTGTGTCAACAAAATTTGTCAATGAGTCTATACACCAAGACAGGAAAGCAGTTCAGATCCTGATAGCTATAGCCAAAGTTATGCATAATTACTACCAACCTACTTATAATTCTACTGTTTTTCTCTTCTCTAAAAAACTACACTGGAGTACAAGTTCAAGTAGTATTATTATAGAAATAACCTTGAATTTCTTCTAATTTAGTTTACAGAAAGCACAAATCATTTATAAATTTTGGTATTTCATGTAAAATAAGGAACTAGTTACTTTCCGGTATTAATACTGAAAAGAAAGGACTCGTGCAACTCTTGTAGGCTAAACTAGCCTCTCCATTTGGTTCTAACCTGATCATCGCCAAATGTCTTCAAGATATAAATACACATACTAAAGAGAATATAGGGTGGGGACGTAGCTGAGCGACGCAGAGTGCTTGTCTAGCATGCACAAGGCCCTGAGTTCAATCCCCAGTACCAAAAAAAAAAAACAACACAAAAAAAACCAAAAACAACAACATCAGCTTTTAAAGAGATCAGAGAGAGAGAGAATACATAGGCCCCAAGTTTGTAGGAAGACCAAGGTCACCAGGTTTTAAAAGATGTCTTGGTAGATGACAAAGACAACATAACTTTTAGCAATACAGCCAAGTCACATCACCTTCCTTTCTCCTTTCACTGCTCCAATAACCCCAGGAAATTTCTACAGAAACTTTGTAATACTTTTGCTATTTTCTCTAATACTAGCAGCAATATAGGTATCTGTTCCCAGAAATGATTTATAATAAAGTCTTTCTACTGTCTTTGGCCTGACACTTGGCAATTTTAGTTACAATCTGTTTTTCTTTATCACACTGATTCTAATTCCTTCTCTATGGTCCCCATTGATTGTGTTTTAAGTCCACGATTAACAGACCAAAGGCTTAAATGTATCCAATATGAAGAAATATTTATTTATTGATTTACTTTTCAGGTTAGCCTTAAATTTACTATGTAGCCTCAGCTCAAAAAGACAAGACAAACCAAAACAAAAAAAAAAAATTAAATTTTTACTTTATGATAAAGGTAGAATTTCTATTTATTTTTGAGACATTGTCTGACTGTATAGAGCAGGGTGACCTTGAATTCACTAACTATGTAGCCCAGGATGGCCTCAAACTCATAGCAATCCTCCTGCTTCAACCTTCTGAGTGCCGGGACTACAGGCGTGCGCCACCACGCCTGGCTTAGAACTTCTTTAAAGATCAAACTATACTGCACTTACGTGATGCAACACACATTATCTTCTAGGAATAAACCTATAGGTAACGGGAAGTAATGTCCACAATGTCTTAAACTTTTAAATGAAACCCAACAAAAACAACACAATAGCCTCTACTATCATTTCACTCCTCAGGGGTAACCAACACTAACAGTTTCTTTTGTCTGTCCAAAGATTTTCTCATATATACCACAGATATGTGAAACACTTTAAATATGGAACTTCAAAAATAATTCAAAGACTTATTACAATGTTGCAGCAAGCCTTTAAGTTGAAAGCTGAAAGTCTAACATTCCTGTTAGGTACAGCTTACCTGTTTTCCAGATCCGGCATGCTTAGGTTTCTAGCAGCAAAGCACATTTTGAGAGGGATGATCTTCCTGTCCTTGGTGCTGTTTTGGTGTTTTGGAGAACCGGAGTCCTCACTGCCACTAAAGCTTGGTGACTGGGGAGCTGCACCTTCCCATGGAAGATCTGATACTAGGGATGGCTTCTTGATATACGGTGTTACTTCTCGGATAAACTTGACTATGAACAAAAATTGAATAAGGTGGTTAGTATTTTTGTTTCTGTGAAAACTGACATAAATAAGCACATGTGTGTACATGCAAAATCTGTAACAAGGTGAAAAAACAAAATTCAAAACACATCTGTCTCTTTCTTTTTCTTTTTTTTTTTTGTGTGTGTGTTACTGGGTATTGAGCCTGGGGCCTTTATACCAAACACTTTATACCATCCCCCCCCTCCACTTTTTAAAAATTTGAGACAAGGTCTCACCAAGTTGCCCAGGTTGGTCTCAAACTTGGGATGCTCCTGCCTCAGCCTCCCAGAGTACTGGGATTACAGGTCTGTGCCACATGAGACACCCATCTCTGTTTTGTTTCTTTGGTACTGAGAATCAAACTCAGGTCTTTGTGCTTGCCAGGCAGGCACCTGTGCCTGAGCTATATCCCCAGCCCAACATCCATCTCTTTGAGATAGACTCAGCACCTCCTGAAATAGCACCATGTAACTTTAAACAACTCTTAACACTTAGAAACTTCTAACATTTCCACCCATTGGTTCTCTGTCTACTGAAGTCATATAGAGCAAATTTAATCTCTCTCGCACATGAGAACTTTTTAAATATCCGAAAGACAGATTATGTATCGTTCTGCTTTTTTTTGTTTGAGTCACAGTCTTCCTAAACTGTATGGGGTGGCCTTGCACTTGCTATTATTACGCAGGCTAACCGGAGCTCATAATCTTCCTACCTCAACCTCTCAAGTTCTGGGATCACAGGTGAGGGCCACCATCTCTGCCTGCCTTTTTCTTGTGTTAAGCTGAGCACTTCTAGTTTGATTTGATTCAACTCTATCAACATTCAATAGCTATCTACCAAGTGTCAGGCATTAGGCTAGTTGTTGAGAATATAAAGGTAAGTGGGAAACACATTCTTCCCTGAAGGAATGTCCAACAAAGCAGGGGGGACAGCTATGCAAACACATTACTATAGCCCTGAAAAGCATGTGCAAAAATAAAGTATATTCAAGATAAACACAGTGAAGACTCAACTGATCTCCTTGTTTGTTCAATCCCCATACTAGGGATTGAACCCAGGGATACTCTACCACTGAGATATACTCCTCTTATTTTAAATTTTGAGAGAGGAGCTCCTTAAATTGTTCTGGTTGGCCTTGAACTTGAGAATCTCCTGTCTCATCCTCCTGAGCAGTTTGGGTTATAGGTATGCAGTATTCTGTAAGTGTAGCCTAAAATTAGTAGATATGAAACTTTTTTCAAGTTCAATTTTAGGATTCACAAAGTACTTCTTTTATTTTTATTTTTATTTTTTTTTTATTTTAAAGAGTAAGAGAAGGATAACAATAATGGGGTGGGGGCTACAAAGTAGTTCTTAGTGCATGCCTATAATCACCAGCATTCTGGCAGGTGGAGGCAGGAAGATCCCAAGTTTGAGCTGAATCTGAGCAATTTAGTGACACACTGTCTCAAAATAAATTTTAAAAAAGGGCTGGGGATATAGCTGGGTTCAATCCCTAGTACCACAAAAAGAGAAAAAAACCCTATTTCCTCAGTCATGACTGGCAAATCGTTTTGAGGTATGGTGCTCTTGTTTATAAATTAGATAAACTAAGACTATTAAAAATTTAAATATCATCAGAAATACAAATAAAGCTGAATATAGATAAATCAGTCATCATTACCTGTTAACCTCAGTACGTGTTTAATCAGTTTTGTATCTCCTTTTCAAAGGTCATTATAATAGAAATTGGAATTGAAAAACTAAAAGGTCATTGGCAATGCTTATCAATATAATAGCTAGGACAAATATTATATGGCACTAAAAGCCTATAAAACTTTTACTGACAGATTTAAACCTCAAAAATAATGAGGTATGCTTCTAAAAACATAGCTAATAACAACCTTTAAAACAGTTTCTCTGTTGAGCCCAGCACAGGAAATGGAGTCCCAGCTCTGCTGCCCTTTATGGTTCCATATGGCACGGGCTGCCACTGGAGCCCAGGATGCCCCCTTCCTGGAGCCTGGGGCCTCCCAGCCTCCGGCCAGGCCCCTGGTGCATGCCTGCCTTTCAGCCCATTACGGCCCAGGTGCAGCCATGAGTCTAACCTCCCGATGAAGAGGAACTGGGGATGATGAGAACGTGTCATAAAATAATGTCTACCTCAGGCTCTGTGATTTCCTGTCCTCCACTTCTGGTCCACTTACAGATAATGCTTACAGCTAAAGTTTATTCTGTACACAATTTTATACTATACACAGAAGATAACTCAGTGAATAAGAGTTACACATTTTTCTTTAAAGTTTAGAGTACAGAACTTTATAACAGTTCGGATGGACTTCACTGGTTAATTCTGATGTTCTCAGTTATCCCTTCCCCTCCACCTCCCTTGAGAATTCTGTCTACAAAGTCTAAACACATATCTTAAGGAATGACTTTTTCATAGGTAGCGCCAGAGGGAATTTGGGGGCAAGGAAGGATGACAGTAATAAATACTTTAACTTAATGCCTTTTACCTACTCCCCTCCTCCCTGCTCTGTACTGGGATTGAACCTGACTTTCTGGTATATCACACTAAGCTATATCCCCAGCCTGTATTTATTTTGGGACAGGGTCCCAGGCTAAGTTGAATCTGTGATCCTCCTGCCTCAGCCTCCCAGAGTGCTGGGAGTACAGATGTGTACCACCACGAGCTCCCCTCTTTTTTGTTATGTAATATCTTACTGTATGTAAGAGAGACCTGAAGGTCAGCATTTTAATGAGTTATTTAGCCCTAGACAGGTAAAAATATACGGACCTCTTGACTTTATAGTAGTCATTTGGTATAATCATAATTTATCTTTGTGGAATAGAAGTATTTTTTTATTTGATCCTTACCAATATATATGTCCATTATAGACTGTCAATGAATACATCTTAGTTATTAACATCTGAATGATACCTATGTTTTATATTTCTTCTTTTAATGTGTTTTATCAATGCATTATATAGAAAAGCCAATTTTATGATCTGAACACTTGAAAATGGAATAAATATGGACTCTCTTTAGCATGTTAACAAACAAACCCAGAGATTTCCAGTTCTTTTGACTACAGTAGCCAGGCAGACAAATAAATGAATGGAGCTGTCAGGGACAAAAGGGATAAGGGGATGACGTGAAAAAAGACATGCACCATCTAAAGGGAACACAATTCACTACCAGACCTCAGCTGACAGCTGGTCTGTAGACATCTGGATTCCTTGTTGCCACATCGTATTTTCAAGACCAATCAGAATAATCCTAGCACTCAGCAAGCTGAGGAAGGAGGAGGATTACTGAGAGTTTGAGGCCAGCCTGAACTATATAGCAAGACACTACCTCCCCCAAGTCAAGATAAATCAGAAAATCTAAACTCAATTCTGAAATGTTAGCATTTACTAGGTTGAATAATAAGAAATTTCTACTTTTATAGATTTAAAATCTGGGAAATACTGGCAATTTCATTTCCAAACATTTAGGCTGATCATGGTGGTGCATGTCTGTAACCACAACATTCAGGAGAGTGAGGCAAGAGGATTGCCATGAGTTCGAGGCCAGCCTGGGCTACATAGTGAGTTAAAGGCCAGCATGAACTACTCAACAAGACTCTGTCTCCAAAAAAAAAAAAAAAAAGCTTAAACATTATGCGTGTTAAATAAAATGCTTCCTGGCTCAGGATATAGCTCAGTGGTACAACATTTGTAGGTCTCTGAATTCAGTCCCTAGCACTGAAAAAAACAAAAAAGACCCACGTTAAATATTCTTGGCTGGCTGTTGTGGTACACACTTGTAATCCCAGCACTCAGGATCAGGAATATGGGGCCAGCCCAGGCTACACAGTGAAACCCTGTCTCAACAAAACAAAATAAAAATCCTCTATGTTCCCCCCTTTTTTTTGGTAGTGGTAATACTGGAGATTGAGCTCACGGTTAAGCACTGAAGATTGAACCTTCACTAAGTTGTTAAATTGCCCAGCCTGGGCTTGCACTGGTGATCCTCTGCCTCAGTCCGCCAGCGCTCGGATCACAGGTGTGCACCATCATGCCAGCTCTATAGGTTCTTTATTAACCCCATTTATAGAGAAACAGAGGACCTTGCCTAAAAGTGCATGCTGCTGCATGGCATTTGCAGTAGAATCATGACACATAACCTCTGTTAATTTTTTTTTTTTTGTCTTTTTGAGACAGGGTCTCACTATGCAGTTCAGGCTACCCTTGAACTCACTTTGTAGCCCAGGCTGGTCTTGAACTTGCATCAATCCTCCTACCTCAGCCTCCTGAGTGCTGGGATTACAGGTGTGCGCCACCACACCTGGCAACATTTTTGTATAAGATGCTATACACTGCAAGTTAAATAGTAATATAATGCCTTCATACATTTTTAGTTAGCTATAACATTATAACTATAATGAAAATAATTGGTAAAATGTTAAAGCACGGGCTGGATATTGCTCAGCAGCACAGCACCTGCCTGGCAAGCGTAAGGTCCTGAGTTTGATTCCAGGTACAAAAAAAAAACAAAAAGTTAAAGCAAACAGTACAAAATTATATATGTAGTATATAAAAAATAAGGAAAGGAGAACAATACACTTGGGACCTCTCCTGTCTCTGAGGAGCTATTCCTATTCCCCATTTCTTCTCTCCAATGAATTTTCCTACCAGAAAAAAAGAAAAGAAAAATGAGAAGAGGAAAAACTATATATAGAAAATAAGACTGGAGGCTGGGGATTTAGCTCAGTGGCACAGCGCCTGCCTGGCAAGCGCGAGGTCGTGAGTTTGATTTCCAGTACCGGAAAAAAAACCAAAAAAAAAAAAAAAAAAGAAAAGAAGACTGGAAAGAAACTCATTGCAGTGATGGGACTTGGCTGATTTTTTTCCTATTTTTAAGTGTTTTTCATATTTTATTTTAAAATAATATTAATATTAAAATAGGACTGGGAGTGTAACTCAATGGTAGGTTGCTTAACCTAGCACGCACAAGATCCTAGGTTCAATCCTTAGCATTGAAAAAAAAAAAAGTTTTCCTTTTGAATAGGTTATATGAGTATCACTTAATTGAAATGCTTTGGACCATAGGTATTTTGGATTTTATTTTTTGTGGCAGGGTCTTGCTATACAGTTTACATTGGCCTTGAACTCATTATGCAGCCCCAGCTGACCTTGCCTTGCAGTAATCCTCCTGCCTCAGCCTCCTGAGTCCTAGGATCACAGGTGTGTATCACCACACCCTGTGTTGGATTTTAGAATATTTGCATACACATAATGAGATGTCTTGGGGATGAGACCCAAATCTACACACAAAATTTATTCATGTTTCATATATACATTACATGTCATGCATGCTAAGGAAGAGTTCTACTACTGAGTCACATCTCCAGCCCTTGAAGGTAACTTTAAACAATAGCTTTAGTGTTCTTCCATGTTTTCAGTCACATGAGGTCAGATGTGGCTGTGGTGTCTGTACGTGTCTGTACTCGAGAAGTTTTGGATATTGAGTATTTTGGATTTTTGGATGAGGAATGATCAATCTATGTGCATATGAAGCAAAACTCTAAAGAAGATATAAAAGGTTTTGAAGTAGTAAAGATTGCTGTCTAGTTTCCATCCCTGAAAGCAATCATTGTGTAATCTTTCAGAGAGATGTTAGATATGCTAAGAATTTATACACACACATTTGTGTGGAAAAAAAAAATATATATGTATTAGTATGTTTACTATCGTCCCTGTTTTGTTTTGTTTTTGTTTTTTGGTTTTTTTCCTGTACCAGAAATTGAACTCATGACCTTGCGCTTGCCAAGCAGGCGCTGTGCCGCTGAGCTAAATCCCCAGCCCCTCCTCCCTGTTTTTAATAATATTACTAGTGTTTTTCTTTTTTTCCCCTGCACTTTTTCTGTTTGGTTATAATCTTTTTGTTTGTTTGTTTGAGAGAAGGTCTCACTATATAGTCCAGGCTGGCCTTGAACTTGCATTGATCTTCCTGCCTCAGCCTCCCAAGTACTGGGATTACAGCATGTACCACTATGCCCAGCACTTCAGTAATCATCTTATATGACCAGCTGACAGCTCTATAGCACGATGTGGTGATGGAGACACCTTTGGAGTCAGATATGGTTCAAATCCTTACTACATGTGCTACTTCAAAGTTATGTGAACACATTTGACTGTTCTGAGGTCCTCATCCACAAAGGAGTAACACTAAACAAGCAAAAGTCCCTGTTTAGGAGTAACACTGAACATCTAATACTAGGTTCCTTTCTTTTTCTTTTCCTGACTTAGTTAAAAAATATTATTTGTGATCAGTACAAGAGATGAAGCTATTTTCTTGTAAGTTATTAAGTAACATCTGCTGAAATTAAGCATAATACTAGAAAGTAATTTTTGTTGTTGTTGTTTTCCTTTTTTGAGACAAGGTCTCACTCCGTAGCCTAGGCTGACCTCAAACTGGCAGCAATCCTCCTGCTCAATCCCCCACGTGCTGGCATTACAGGCATGTGCACCATGACCAGCCAAAAATATAATAATTCTAACAGTAGCATTTAGATATAGTGCATGTGTATAGATGTGTCCTTTCTCTGCATAGTTATAATGTATGCTTTTCTGGGCGAAGAGAGTAAAAGCTGTCTCAGGTCACCAAGCAGATTTTTTCATCCTACAAAATCTAGCAAAGATGCAGCCAGTATATCCTTTGAGCTGGCTGACTCAGGCATTTTAATACACACTTCGCTTTGTGCTTCTAAGAGAGGATTAGATCACAAGAACTTGGCAGAAAATCTTAAGGTTTCCAGTCACTGCTGACCACAGAGACATACATTTTAAACATTCAAGGCACTATACAAGAATTGGGCTACCCACTCGAGGAAAATACATACTAAATGACTCCATTTTTTCAGAGACAGTCTCACTATGAAGTCCAGGCTGGTCTCAAATTCATGATCCATCCTCCTGCCTCAGCCTCCTGAGCAATACGACTGCAAGTGTGTGCCACCATGCTAGGGCCCTAAATGAGTACTCTTAAACATTACAATGATTATGAAAGAACCCTAATGATCTACTCAGACATTGTTTCAGTCAGTATTAGAAATCAGTATTCAACCAACAGTACCATCTCTGAACTGATCACACATTTAAACAAAAACAGACACACACCACCTATGGATCGCCTAAGAGTTTCACCTGAGCTGAGGATCTTGCAACCCTCCCATCTAAGTAAACATTTATATGGCTGAGAAAATTGAAAATTAATGTTTTTAATTTATCTAAATATTAATGGTATTCTGTCTTAGTCCTTCACTAAGTCCTCCCTAGTTGCCAGAGAGCAGTGGTGGTGAACCTATGGCATATGTGCACAGCGGGCTGTTAGTACTATTGAAAGCTCTAAAAGGTCTGACATCATTGCCATAGGGCCTTAACCTGGATGCATGGCTGCATAAGCTGAGCCTTCATAACCCATGTGGCTTTCAATCCACTTCAGAACCTATGACATATTTCGGAATTATTTCATTTGTCCTCATAAAGATCATCCTAAAAACAAAGAGTGATGATTGTAAAATGTTTCAAGTGTTTAGATGATGAAGCTAATTTTCTTTCTTATTAAAGTGAAAGAGTTCCCGTGGGTGATGGTACAAGTGTGCAATTCCAGCACTCTGGAAGGCTAAGGCAGGAGGATTGCAAGTTCAAGCACAACTTGGGAAACTGAGTGACTTAGCAAGACCCTGTTCCAAAATTTAAAAAAAAAAAAAAGGATTAAGGATGTAGCTCAGGACCTGGGTTCAATGCACTATACCAAAATAAATAAATAAAAAATAAATAAATAAAAAGCAAAAGGTGTGATCTGGGGGTGGAGTTCAGCAGCAGAGAGTTTGCCTAGTAGCCATGAGGCCTTATTCAATCTCCAGCATTTAAAGCAAAACAACAAATAAAGGAAAGAGGCATTCCCCACACTGAAGGTGTCACTGGAACCTTTCTTTGTAGAATGACCAAAAACAAAACAAACAGAAAACACCCCCAAGTCCAAGTACTGTACACATGGCAGAATTTTCACCATACATAAAGTACTTATAAGTGTAAAGTTGCACTTGATTTTAAAAGTATAGTTCTATATATCTGAAATTTTATGTCTTCATTATTTATTTTAAAAACTTATTTAAGAAATGAATAATCAAGCAGGAAGATTGAGTTTGTGCCAAGCCTGGGCAACTTAGCAAGACTGCCTCAAAATTAAAAAAAATAAAAAGGGATGGGGATGCAGCTCAGTGAGAAGACCCCAGTTTCAATCCCCACTACTGTGCCCCACCCCCACAAAAAAAAGCGGAAGAAAACTTATTCTGAAATCTTATTCAAACTTTAGACATGAAACAGCCATTTGGATACCACACTTTGTGTGTGTCTGTGTGTGTATGTGGTACAGGGGAGTGAACTCAGGGCCTTCACACTGAACTACAATCCCTTCACACTGAGCTATAATTTTTTTATTTTAAATCAGGAACAGGGTCTTGCTAAGCTGCCCAAGCTGAGCTTAGACTTGTGATCCTCCTGCGTCGGTCTCTCAGCATGCCACTATTACAGGTATGCACCATCATGCCAAGCTCTAACCAATTCTTACTGAACTCTAAACTAATGAATAAGCTTACAAGGATTTCCATATCTGGGCCACTGGCCAGCATTTGATTTAAAAATGAACACTGCTAAGGTGGCCTCCCCCGACCCCCATACCTCACTAAGTTGCTTAATTGTCCAGCCTGAGCTCAAATTCTCTATCCTCCTACCTTGGTCTCTGAAGTGCTGAAATTACAAACATGTGGCCCCCTGCCCAGCTACGTGGCCAGCTAAAATTATCCATAAGATCCTTCATAGTATAGAAGAACCTATGGCTATCAATACATATATTTGGGTGAGTTGATTACCTTTCCTTACAACAACTATGTCTCATACAATCATTATTTTCTTCTTCCCTCTTTCACTGTTTTCTTAGCCCAGCAGACAATCTTTCCTGTGAATTAAGTGAAACTAACTTGGTCATAAAATGTGAAGGTACCATTACTTGTTCTGCTTTTGCAAGTGTTTTTCTACATTATCTTCAGGGTGGAAGATACGGCTTCGCTTTCTGCACAGGAATGAGTTAGGATGACATCACTGTGAAAGTATTCTCCAAAGAGGTTTCTCCTCAACTTCATCCTAAACTCCCCCAGTCCCAAATTAGGAGTCTGATAGATGGCCTCTGAAAACATTACAGTAGGATTGCTTTACTTTCAGTAAAAGGCCTTTTACATTCTCAATTTGCAGGTGTCATTTTGCTTATCTGTTGGCCATGTGCAGTTACGGAAGACCGCAGTCTAAAGGTTGGTAACATTAACCTTGAAAGTATTCAGGCAAGGGGCTGGGGATTTAGCTCAGCGGCAAAAGCGCCTGCCTGGCAAGCGCAAGGTCGTGAGTTCGGTTCCCGGTACCGGAGAAAAAAACCAAAAAACCAAAAAAAAAAAAAAAAAAGAAAGTATTCATGCAAGCATAGTGGTATACTCCTGTAATCCCAGCACTTGGGAAGCTGAGGCAGGAGGATTGTTGCGAATTCAAGACCAGCCTGGACTATGAAGTGAGCTCAAGGCCAGCCTGAACTGCATAGCAAGGCCCTGTCTCAAAACGGAAAAAAAAAAAAAAAAAAAAGAAAGTATTCAGAGTGCTTGATTTTACTATAAAGTGCATCTTCATTTTAAAGTTACATAGCACATTCACTAATTTATTAAGCCCCAACTATGAATCAGCAACTGTTTTAAGCACATAGAATAACACACCAGTGAACAAAGCATGTAAATAATATAATTAATAATTTATGAGAAATGAAAACATGTTCACACAAAAACGTGTACATAAATGTTTTTAGCAACTTTATTCTTAAATTACAGAACTGGAAACAATCCAAATTTCCTTCAGTAGGTAATTGGATAAACTTGTAGAACTACAGAATAAAATACTATTCAGCAATTGTTACGGCTTGTATCTAGATTTCCCCCTAAAGCTTCATGTGGTCAGAGGTGCAGCTTTTTGGAGCTGGCTGGATCTAGGATGTATGATACTGAGATTAAGAGTGGTGGTACTAAATTAGTCTACCGGTTGGAATGAGCATAGTTCTGGGAGTAGATAATGAAAGGCCCATCCTGGGTGTGGGTGGCACTACCCAAAAGGCTTGTAGCCTAGGAGGGATAAGAAGGAAAGGGAGGCCTGCTTCCCTGCCCACTGTCTGCTGCTGCTGCTGCTGCTGCTGCATTCTGCCTACCCTGCCATGGACTGCCTCTCCTCTGCCATGCCGCCCTACCTTGGAGCCAGCTGACTATGGACTGAAACCTCTACAAACTGCAAGGTAAACTAAACCTCTCCTCCTTTAACTTTGGGTATCAGGCATTTGGTATCAGTAATGAGAAAAGTAACTTAAGACAACAATGAAAAGGAATGAACTCTTGATAAAATTCATCTATTTGGATAAATCTCAATTCATCACTTCTGGTGAGTCAGAAAAGCCAATATTTTATTTATATATTATATATATAAATATATAAAACATATATAATTGTGATAGATATATAGTAATTCTATTATTGAGAAGGTAAAACTACAGGCTGACTAAAGAACAGTGGTAGCTGGGCATGGTAGTGCACACCTGAAACCCAGCACTCTTGAAGGCTGAGGTAGGAAGATCACAGTTCAAATCTGGCCTGGACAATTTAGCAAATTAGCAAGGCCCTGTCTCAAAATAAGAAAAGGGGTGAGATGTAGCTTGGTGTGAAGGTCCAATCACTACTACCACATACACACAAAAAATATATGATTAATCAGTGGTTTCCCAGGATTGGAAGGGATGATTATAAAGGGATACTGCAACAGTTTGGGGAATGTTAGAAGATGTTAACTGTTATGGAAAAATGTCTGAACCAAGACTTGAAGGAGGTGGGAGAGTTAGTCATGGGGGTATCTAGGGAGGCATTTAGCACTCCAGCCACAGAGGTAGCTTTTTTCTTTTTTTTCCTTTTTTGAGTCAGGGTCTCACTATGTAGTTCAGGCTAGTTTTGAACTCACTGTATAGCTCAGGCTGGCCTCAAACTCCCAGCAATCCTACTGCCTCTGCCTCCTGAGTGCTAGGATTACAGGCGTGCAGCACCACACCCAGCTGCCAGCCGGAGTTTTAAAGCAGAAAGGAAAGTCAGTGTCACTGCAGTAAAGTAAGGGAGGAGCAGGAATAGAAAATAGGGTTACAGGGGGCTGGGGATTTAGCTCAGTGGCACAGCGCCTGCCTGGCAAGCCCAAGGTAGTGAGTTCGATTCCTGGTACCAGAAAACAAACAAACAAACAAACAACAAAAAAAAATAGGGTTACAAAGGTAAAGGAATTGGGAACCAGACCATGAGGGTCTTTTAGGTCACTGTAAGGACTTTTGCTTTTATTCTGAAATGAGAAGCCATTGGCAAATGTTCAACTGAAGAGTGCTGAAAACAGAATGAGGGGCCGGGAATATGGCTCAGTGGCACAGGGCCTGCCTGGCAAATGCGAGGTCATGAATTTGATTCCCCATACCAAGAAAAAAAAAAAACAATTCTCATGAAAACAGAATGAAAGATGGCAAGTACAGAAGCTGAAAGACCAACTGGGAAGTTCTCAGAGATGACAGAGGATGGAAGTTGGAGCAGGGAGGACAGGTATGGAGCCAGTGAGAAGTGGTCATATTTTATGTATCTATTGCAGGTAGATCTACTTAGATGTCCCAACAGGTTAGACAAGGAAGAGTGACACAACTGGAAGGATAGAGTTGCCACTGACGGGTGTAGGAGGAAAAATCAGGCACTTGAGACACACACTACACAAGCACAAGACTAGCAGCAGCTGGATACATAACCCTGCCATCCGGAAAACAGGACTGAGTTGGAAATACACCTTTGGGAGCAATTAGCATATGTCTGATATTTGAGGTGGGATCAAATCACTTTTCTAGTCAGGGTCTCCAAAGGACACGGATAGTACACAATTCAATAAAGCAACAATTCATATAGTTAGGGGCAGGGTACTGGAAAACCACAAGATAAAGCAGTGTGGTACTACAGGACTATTAATACATTGGCTGTTTCCACACTCCACTGGAAGGGACAAGGACAGGAAATTGCTACCAGACCCAGAAGAGGGTCCTGAAGAGATTGATGAGAGAAGTGACCTTCAGTCAATTCAGCGAAACTGAGGTGACCTTGCAGATTAGGAGCCAGGCAATAAACACTCTACCCTCACTCTCCGCTTTTCCCTCTGTTGGCCCAATCCAACGAAAACTGAAGGCCAAGGAAGCCTGCTGATAAGGGTCCATGCAGAGCAGTCACCCAGGACAGAGCGGGGAGGGAAGCAGGAGCAAGGCTAGCGGGGTAAACAAAGACTGCGGACCAATCGGCCAAGGACAGAGGATATGAAGAGGATATGCCACTACTGGAGGGCTGGGAAGAAGGAACATCAAAACAGAGACAGTAAGACCCATGGGAGACAAATATGCCATAGAAATACTGGCCTAAAATAGCATCAAGTTTATTCGAACTGGAAAAGCCCTGCCTTGATCCAATTAACCCTGTCTTGGCTCCTACTTCCCTTCACTGTCCCTTGGAAAATAACCAGGTCACACTTGATGATTCTACTTTCTTCTTTCACTACTTCATAGCTTCTAAATAAAACTTCATCCTAAAGACAAGCCAGTGCCTTCTTTTTTGCATCCTTACCAAGATCGAGATAACATCAATACCTGTGACAGTACACTCTGTCATTCTCCTTTACTGGCCACCAATTTTTTTTCTCCTCCTACGCCTACAGTGCAGGTGCTGCTAAGGCTCTAACCTTAGCATTTCTCACTTTATCCTCTGGTCTCTGGCCAGAACCATTATTTTTTGTTGGCCCCAACTCCTTCAGAGTACTGTCCTGAGTTAATCTTACTGGGACGCTCCTTATCCTGTGCTTCCTCTTTTAGTTATTAAGATGAGCATCATTCTAGCCATCCAAGATCTAAACCAGAAGTACAGTAAATCTGGCAAAAACTATAATAATCTGCATTTTATTAAAACTTGCCTGGGTGGTTGATTCTCATGCTCATTTAAGGTTTGGGAATGGCTTCTCTAAATCTCTGCAAGCCAGCCTCTCTCTCTTAGCAATGTATCTAATCACGTGTCAGCCCACCCCCTCCCGCCCCTGAAACTGATCTCTAACCTACTCTCTCTCCTCAGTTCCCACTGCCAATGTGCTTCTGGGTCGTCAACACCATTATAATGGCTTCCTTTTTTGGGGGGGGGAATTGTAAGGTATACACAACAGAAAAGTCACCATTTCAGCTGTTTTCTGAACACGTATGGCTCAGTGGCATTAAGTGCACTCACACTGTTGTGCAACCATCACCACCACCCATTTCCAGGCCCCCAACTCTGCTTCCACTAAACAGTAACTCCGTGTTCCCTCCTCTCTGCTGGAAACCACCATTCCACTTCCTTTCTCCGTGAATTCCACTATTTTAAGTACCTCCCAACACAACACTTATCGCTTTGTGTCTGTAATGGCCTCTTCACTGATCTTGCCCAGATTCCTTCCTGTCTTGTTCCTTTAGATAAGGTTCCCAGATTGTCCTGAACCCCAACTCATACCCATACCACCCCTTGTTTCAAAGAGCCTTCACGGTTTTCAACTGCCTAAAGAATATAGTCAAAAAAGTCTGATGTAATTTTTAAAAATTTATTTATTTTTCTGGTCCTGGAGATTGAACCAATGGCCTTTCACTGAGCTACATTCCCATCCTATTAATTTTTTTTTGTTTTTTTTTGAGACAGGGTCTTGCTGTGTAGTTCGGGCTAGCCTTGAACTCAAAGCAATCCTCCTGCCTCAGCTTCCCAAATTCTGGGATTGCAGGCATGCACCACCACACCCAGCCCTATTATTTTAGATTTTATTTTTGTTGTTTTTTGAGGCAAGGGCTCACTATGTAGTTCAGTCTGACCTCGAACTGGAAGCAATCCTCCTGCCTCAGCCTCCCAGGTACTGGAATTACAGTCATGTACCACCACAGCTGGCCCCAGCTCTTTAAAAAAAAACTTTTTTTAAAGAAAGAATTTTGAGACGGGGTCACACTAAGTCATTAAATTGCCCGGGCTGGGCTTGAATGTGCCATCCTTCTCCCTGAGCCTCCAACAATGCTGGGATTATAGGCATGTGCCACCATACCTGGGAGTCTTTGATGTAATTTTGTCTTTTCAGTCAATTCCTCTCTTCAGTTCTCTCCTCTTCCCTATACACCTTAATATAAATGCTTGCATGGGAAAACCCCCAAAGATTGTACGCA